AGCCTACACCTTACGTGGCCTGTCCCTCTCACAGGAGAGCTCTCTGAAATCGAGGCTGTGAGTAGACGTCATTTTAAAGGGTCTCCTGCTGAAACCAAGACTGGAATCAAGCACTTGGATGCTTGATTGTGAATTTCTTTTACTACTTCATTATCTCATTATTTCAAATGTTGGACAGTAAGGCTATGAAAGTCAAAATCAGAATTGCTAAAATCTCCCATTTCAGGCTGTACTTTTGAGGTTTGGGTACAAATTTTAAAGCAGATGCTTTCCTCGCACGGCCACAGGTGAAGCCTTTTTCCCCTGTCCTCTGTTTGCATTGCAGGAGCTCTGTCTGATCCGCTTTCACCCCCTGACAGAGGAAGACGAGGTTGCCTACGATTCTCTCTACTCCTACTTTAGCAGTCGTGGCCGTTTTGGGGTTGTTCCTAATAAGACCAGGCACATCAAGAACCTCTACCTCATCCCACTGGGTGCTAAGGACCCTATTCCATCTGCACTCTTGCCCTTTGAGGGACCAGGTAAGCACCAGCTTTCTGGGTGGCAATTATGAGCATGTGATACCCACACGTATTCTCCCCTGACATGGAGTCCTGCTGAGTTGTTGCAAGGTAGATCTGTCATATCCAACCATGAGTCTCTAGGAACGAAATTGTGAAATACAGATGAAGCCATGAAGACTATTTCAGATTTGTCAAGGGTTGAGGGTGATTCCAAGGGGAGCAGGTCTGTTAGTGTCTGGTTTTCTTTGCCCCTCAGAGGAAATTGATGTGACTTCGATTAGTAAATTGACCAGGTGCCTAAATTGGAGTGTTTGTGTCTACGAAGTCCCTAGAGGATTGCTCTTATCTGAAAGCTGATGTCTCTGACACACAGCAAGTGCTCTTCAAAGTGCTTTGTCATAGTGGCAGCAACTAAACACCCTGAGCAGTGACAGGTGCTGCCTAGACCCTGTGCCTTTGTCCTCATCAACAGCTGCACCCACACAGCACCTAAGCCAGCTGGGATCCTGTAGGGGTCCCTCCACTTCCTGGGCTTTTTCAGGGCTGGAATCCATCACCCCCAGCATGACCCATGCACTGACTGGAACCCATTCTTAACACCTGGCATGGGCTTGTGCCAACTTTTTGGAATTAAATGCCTATAGAGGTATTGATTGGTATCAGTATATACCCCTTGTCCTTGGTTTCTTTTCCCATACATGTGGTCTAATTCTAACCACTGAGTCTGAGGCTAGACCTTCCACCATGAACTCAAGGGACACAGACATGGAGCTAAAATGTCTTCAGATAAACTGTACACGCTGGTGTTTTAGAGGGCATCAGGTGGGGGTGTCACCTCTGTGGAAGATGGCACATTTTAACTGCAGCTGGTCTTTCAATATCTCACCTACCTACTTGCTTATTTTCACACACTTTATGGATTGTAAGCCTCACAGCAGCCCTCACATGGGAGCTGGTGCCCGGCCTCCCACAGGGCTGCCTCCTCCCTGCTGCAGCCAGTGTGGCCTCTGCTTCTGTGCTTTCTTGGAACACACACCACGCTCCAGGTTAACACTCATGACACAGGAGCTGACAAAATGGGGTGAGCCCAGAGAGTTACCCTCGGGAAACCTGGTCCTCTCTTGCTCCTCCCCTAGATGTGGGGCAGAATTTGGGGTGCTCATGTGGCCCTTTGCCCTCATTTGTTTGGTATTGTCATGCTGGACACACCTTACAGCAGTGTAGAGCATCATTAAATTTGAGACAAGTCCCTTCATCTCAGTAAACATTGCTTCTAAGGTCCAAGATAAGTGAATTTTATTGTTTCTTCCATTAGTATAAGTTATCATTTTATTGTTTCCTCCAGGAATATGTTATTTCCAAGTACTAGTTATATTTCAAATATTCATGGAATGATAACATGACATAAATATGTGAGTGAGGTGATAAGACTCGACTATTTCAAGATAGAAGTATGCATTTTGGAACAGCCCTGTTTAAATTTAAAATTTTTGGGAAGATTGCTGGGGATGTTCAAAACTGTGGAGCTTCATTAGATCATCTCCCAGTGTGTGCAGATGAGATGGGCAAGAGTTGAAAGCATCTAAAAATACTAGCTGCTTATTAGATGCCAATCTCTAGACAGCTTGCTGTTTTCAAGACCAACACAAATATTATGTAATCTCACCTATGATGAATATGACAACAAAGGTCAAAGCCAGCTTGCTAGGGCTGAGATATACTAATTCTTTTCATGAATAAGCATATTAGGGTATTAAAAGATAGTTGCAGAGAAGCACCTTACAGAGCCCGGGTACTGTGTCTTCGAGTTTAACACAATAGTTAACCCAGCACACGCAGTTGATTCATGCAAGAAACTTGATTTGTGCAAGAGCCCTGGTGTTAGCCCTTTAGAAGTTGAGCCTTTCCCTGAGTGAGGTAGTCCCTGGTGACTTCCGCATGCAAAGAACCCCAGTCCTTGCTGTCCGGTGCCCCCGCCCAGCCAAGCCCACTTCTACTTCTGTTCCTGAGACCAAGTTCTGTAGGGAGAGAGCCTGGCTTACAGAGCTGCCCCACAGAGAGAACTGCAGCTGTGACTCAGTAGGTCTGAATGTGCTCAGCAGTTCAACCTGTACTGAAGCTCTGGGACCATCTGCGGCAGAGATACTTGGTCCCCAAAGGCCATGATAGCAGATTTAACAATTGACCAAATCCCGGGCCGAGCCCATGGTGCACTCAGGAGAGTGCGGTGCTGGGAGCACAGCGACGCTCCCGCCGCAGGTTCGGATCCTATGTAGGGATGGCCGGTGCACTCACTGGATGAGTGCAGTGTGGGCGACACCACACCAAGGGTTGCGATCCCCTTACTGGTCACACACACAAAAAGAAACGACCAAATCCCGAAACTGTGTGTTTAAATTAGCTATAAAGTATTCGGTAAATAGTTATTATGGTGAAAGAAGTACTATTTGAAGATAAAATACCCATAATGAATGCTGTTCAGTGTGGTGGCCGGACACCAGATTCTATCCCCTCCTTTGCCTTTTCTTTTGCTGACACACTGCTGTTACCAGATGGGCAGGGAGGGGACGTTTTGACAGAAAGTTCTCATGAAAGGAGGGTGGCATGGTACTAGGATATGTTGTGATCACAGCTCACCCATGAGTGCCTTCAACACGAATCTCTTACACAGCAGCCTGTGAAGCAGGAGACCTTTAGGACACCCTTAAGGAGGGAGGGGAGCAGAGCAGCGTCAGTCTGCAGAGGCCGGGTTGCCCCAGCTCAACCTGGTGTCCTCCTAAGTGGCAGGCAGGACATCCACCTGCCCACGTGTGCTCAGCTGTCAGTAATAAATTTCGTACTGGAATTTTGGAAGACTAAGAGCAAACATATTTATAACTATGAAAACAACCCTGTGAAGTGATGTGTGATCATCTCTAAATTACAAAAAGAACAGGACAATCTTAGCACTGCCTTAAATTGTAAGAAAAAAGTGTGATTACCTCTTGTATATTATGTAATGTTATCTATAAATTGAATTTATACAGTTTGACTGATTGTATCCTTATGCTATTGAAACAAATACTCTGTCCTTTGTGAATGATTTTTCTGTAAGTTACTGTTTGTGACTTGGCTGTTTAGTTAGTTCCCCTTTGGGATTTCTTGATGGAGTGTGAGTGTGGGGTGGGCGATCACTATGGGAACGTTAGCATTCCTGATGTAAGTTGTCACAACTTAGGATCTTTGGGG